GAAGCCTTCCGCAATTGGCGGCAGCCATTACATATTACATGCTTGTATGGTTACGTGCAATACCACATGGGGCACGTGGGGTATGCTCCTATGACGGCACTGACTCTAGATATAAGTCACGAGGTGTTCATATGCGCATGCACCGACGATTTCCAGTAGATTCGGCAGCGTAGAATGTGCATACCACAACAAACGGTTATACACATGTTATCAAAATTCACATGTGCAAGCATGTGCAGTATTCTCAATGTTCGCCACACGCAAACAGGCGGATACATAGATACATATGCCCATACATATACAAGCCTTCTCATACATCTTGCTTTACATTGGAAAAACATATGCTACAGAGTCATGCCGGGCTCTACATGCAAATGCAAAATGCGCTGATGTTTGCCTATATAGAACTTTGTGGATTCCATCTTTGTAGGTGACGGGTGTTCATTGGCTCGTGTCTGCACCAACAGCATGCACTACGGTTGATGATGTAAATCATGCATTTCCCATATTCAGGAATATACCATACTTCCCATAGTTTAGGGTCCTTAAGGTAATGCAGGATTTATATCATCAACACTAGGTTCTCGAAGTATCTGGATTAGAACAGAAGACCACATGCGTGAGCATACTCAAAGGATCTGTCCTGCCACATGGTCACGGCTGTTGTTATTGCTGCTGCTGGTGTACTATAGACACATCCATGGATAAGACTGCATCCGCATATGTTCCTTCGGTACGCACCAACAAATAAGCAATACCAACACCAAGCAATAGAAGAAGACTGTCAAGAAACACAGCAGATCCTCGCGATGTTAGGTACTTTTCCCGCAGCTTGATATGCTTTGGAAAGCAAATCTTCGAGTCTTAAGAGAAGCTTCTGCGGGTCAACTTGGGGGGGGGGGGGGTTAGCATGCATATATATATATATATGTATACACATACATACATACATACATACATACATACATACATACATATACACAGACACATACACAGATGTATACTTATAAGTATATATACACACAGATACAGATATGGAAAAGCTTAAGCTCGATAGGCTCCGTGAACTCCTTTGGCTCCGTTTCGAAGAAGCCTCCAGGGCACTGCGGCAGCGGTGAGCTCGGGGCCTGAGGTAACCAGTCTCGCCTTCCAATATAGTATGACCTCATAACATAGTATACAGGGTTTAAGGTTTAGGGAATATAGTATGACCTCATAACATAGTGTATAGGGTTTTTAGGCTTAGGGCCTTTGGGAATATACAATGTTCTCACATCATATAATCTATATAATATAGTGGCCGCAGGATTTTGAAAGGACGGAACCGCGATGCTCCTCGGTCTGTAAATTTGGAATCCCGGACTGCTTTTTGCATTCAGCTCACCTTTAGCTTCGAACTGCACAAAGCAAAACGGCAGCTTTGGGGATCTTCGTGCAGCTGCGTCCTCGCAGGGAAAACCTGCTGAGGCCAACTTGCACGGCGCTGCCGCAACAACATAAGCTACTCATCGAAGCCAGCCGAGTCTGAGAACAGACACCGCTCATCTTTAATGCCATTTGGCTGGCATTTCCAGGAAGAGGTAGCCCAAACCGCAGACAATAGCTATTCCGGCGATGTCCATGAGGACCTGCGCGGCGCTCTATCCAGCCACCCTGTTCACAAGATCCAGATCCGGAGATTGCCTGCACGCCCACTGCACCATGGGCTGGATCCACGTTGAAGAACCTTGCCGCAGTATTATGGCAGAGGAGACTATATGAGATGCCACCGATGCAGCCAACTCGGGATGGTTCCAAAGTAGCTTCGGCAGTGCAGTGCCCACCACTGTGGCACCTAGGCACTGCTTCATGTCAACCAATCACGAATTTTTCGCTTGCAATCGGCTGAGCAGGAAGCAAATCGTGATGACCGCCGCCGAAGCTCCTCGCCATAATCTGGATGTTGGCTCGACTTGTGAACTACTGAAGATTTCCCGCCTACCGTCAGGCTTTCGGACAGCGGCGTTTGCTGCATGTAAGCCCGCACGAAGGCAAGGGGTGCCATGACAAGCACCTGTGCTTCTTTGCTGTCGGGCACTCACATCCCTAAACCTAAACCCTAAACCCTTAAACCCCAAACCCCCAAACCCCTAAACCCTAAACCCATGCAGCCGATTTATCGAGAATCTTGGCAGGCAGCCAGCAGCGCACCCACATGGAGCTGCTCCGAGACCTGCAAAATTCCAAGTTGTAAAACGCAAGGCCACAGCTCTTTGGAGGGACTGAAGCTTCAACTCAATCCATTGAGCTCCGTTTCTCGGGGGTTACATCACCCTCTGCCGATGTAGGCTTCTTTGTTGATTTTCTGTCTTGATTACCAGGGTGGTGCTTTCTTCGCAGATTCAGTATGAACTTTTTGCTGGCAGAGTGTTTCTCCCTTCGTCACCGGTGCCCGGGCCTGCACAGGCTTTCCCAAAGCCAGGCGCCGGACCTCACTGCTTGCGACCCTCACAAGCACAAAGATGCGAGGAGCAAGAAGAGCTGCATTACCCTGGGCGCCCTGCAGTGAGGACGACGCTCTGACCGCCTGCATTGCCTGTCTATAGGTATACCCAGTCCAAAGATGGTCCAAGGCTTGTGGCAGAAGAAGAGTCTCGCGCTGTGCACCCTGCCTCCTAGCCCAACCAGCATGGTCAGGAAGAAGGTCAGAGACATATGTCGTTCCATCAGCCCCTTGAACGAATCCAGAATCAAGGAGGACACGCTCTGCACGAGCCTCAAAAACATGCAGCACTGCTCCCGCTGCCAGCAGCGATAGGCCACAAAAAAGATTCTCGAAGTCCGACAAAATACTTCGTAGCAACTTACTGCCGACATCTGTCTAGAAAGCTGTAGGATGTGCCCTAAACCCCAAAACCCCAAAGCCTAATCCGTGGGCCAGGTCACAGCATGGCCACGAGCCAGGTGCATCGAGGACCAAACAAGTGAAGCGACTCCAGGGACTCCCGAACCAGAGGCGCTGCCGGCGGGGCCTCGGGCTCCTTGGCCTGAAACGATTCTTTTAGGGTTTAGGGTTTATAGGGGTTTAGGGTTTATAGGGGCTTAGGGTTCAGGGGTTTAGGGGAGCCCTGGCCCTCTCAAAGGGCGTCGAAGATCTGCAGAAATCTGACCCCGGCCTCGGCAAGCTCTCTGCGGTCCAGGCGGTCCGTCAAGAATCCCAAAGCCATGACGGTGAAGAGGACGCCCACCTGAACAGCATGCGTCGTCGTATGAGTTCTCATAAAGTACCAGAAGCACTGGTACTTTCTTCTCCTGTCGTTTTAGTTGGAGGTTGTTGGAGCGAGATATAAGCTCGGGCTGGACACCTTCTGGGGTCCACTTAGCTACGGGCACTCTCCCGAAACCCAAAGACAGCTGAATCAAAAGGCAGCAATGCTGACAACACTACAATAGTTAGAGCTGCGCATGTCATCAAGACCCAAACTCAACCTCATGCATTACGTGTATATCCGTAACCGTATATATTCTGAAGGACCAGGGCCAGTACCCTGGAACTGCTGGTGCTCATGAAAGCTTCACAACTGACAGTCCGGGAGATCTGGGCGGCAGGCTGTCAGGCCCGCCAGAAAGCTCGGGATGTTGAAGGAGAAAGATTCCCAGCCCGGAGCTTCGGCTTTATGTGAGGCGCCGGCTTCGCCAGCTGCGCCAAGAGACAAACCCATCTCTGCGGGATGTCGGTGCTCCAGGCTCCATACCTGAATCATCATCGCCGCTGAAAGCAGCGTCTGCAGGAGAATGCCATGGCCGCTGCACATCAGCACAGCCACTTGGAACTACAGTGCTTCATTCGGGGGGACTAAAGCCAGCATGGCGCAAGCACTGGAGCCAAAGAAATGCACGAGTTCAAGGCTCGCTTCACATCGCAACCACGCCAATTACGCCAATGAACCCAAACACCATGCACAGCGTGCTCTGGCCCCTGCGCTGTGGCTTTCGCGCTGTCTGCCTCTAGTCCAGGCTGCACTGCGCAGCTACGCACCGTGAAGCAAGCAAGTTTTGGCATTTAGAAGTGTAGCTGCGCTGCTGTGCCGTCCCGTTTTCTGAGGGAGTTACAAATCAGGTCGTTGGTCGGGTCTCCGAATCCCTGCCGGGCTGTCGACACGAAGCTGCGCAGAGCTTGAGGCCCAGGGCCCAAGCCAGTTCCAGACCTGGGCATGGAATTTTGCTAGGCAGCAAAGCTCTCACGAATGCGTCTGGGGCCAACGGCGAGGACCTTTCCGACGAAAGCGCGAGCACGCAGAGGCCCCACGAGTGGTCACGGTCCCTTCCTGTTGAGGCTTGCTCGGTGAGCAGCTAGCTTAAGCGTATAATATATAGTCTTAGTATATACTACAGTATATCATCTCAGGGCTTTTGGGGCGTTGCGCGCTGCGCATCCTGTCCTGCGAGTCAAGTGCACTGGGCGCAGATTGCGACCTGTGTTTCGCGAAGCTGCAGAGTGCCGCGACCGTCGCGATGATGCTTTGACTGCTTTGAGCGAAACCTGCGCACTGGATGCCCACGCTCACTGTTTTCTCCTGGCAAGCAACACAAAAATCTGCCCGTCTCATGCACTCACAGCAAGTCATGAAGTCACAGCAAGGTGTACCTCTTGTGGGCACAGGCTGAGGCTTGGTGTCGGCCTGAAGTCTAAAAACGAGATGCACACCAAGGCCTGGGGAGGTCCTAGGGCCCGAGCTTGTGCCCACAACTTCCAGAGTGTTCGGCATCTGTCGGTAGAGGCCTCGGGAGGACTTCGCAGCGAAACGGCGCATACAGCGGAGACCGGCCGCATGGTTCAGCGACCTGGGCTTTCTTGGAGTCCGAAAATGCCACATTTTTTTGAATTCCTCAAGTCTGAACGGCGTCTGACTCCATAGCATCCAGCTTCAGGATCTCAGGAGAGTCGACGGCCAATTGTACGAAGCTTACACGCCTCTCCGTGCCTTCTGCGCGGATAAGAGGCTGCAACTAATTCTGAATTAAGTGCGCGAGTGGCCAAACGGCCACTCGGGCACCTTGAGACAATAGTTGTGATGAAGAAGCATGAGGAATGAGCAAAGAATCAGAGAGCCGCCCACAGCAACGAAAACGATGTCCTCAGCAGAGGTGCAGATTCACTTCGTCTTGCATCTGCCTTTTTCTTCGCGTTCCAACGAGGCCTTGCGCCGTTCGTGTCTTAAGGTAGCGACATTTCTCGTAGACCCTGCAACGCGGTGAAGGGTCACAGATGAGAGCTCTAAAGGTCTTGGGTTCGTTGAACCACAGGACCTGCAATGCAAGAGGCATAATGGTTGAGGCCAACATTTCATGTCGAGGCGATCCTCAAAGATTCGGTCAAGCAACAAAGCTATCGTACTGCAACGGCCATGTGATTCATCGATTCGGCAAGCACATCCGCATCTCACGTGTTAGCTACGTGCAGTTGAAGCAGCATCGTGCAAGCTTGCGATTGAAAACCTCCGCGGGAAGAGACTGCACAACATCGCTCTCACGATTCCTGGCCTGTTGATTGCGACGCTTTGCTCAGCGCGTCAACCCCAAGCGGAAATAAATACATAAATAAATGAAAAATATACATATATATATATATATATATCTGTGTGTGTGGCTGTATGTATACATATATATATATATGTGTATATATATATATAGAGAGAGAGAGACTACAGAAATGTTGTACAGATTTATAACCTCTGTCTCTCGATGCCGATGGCCCTTGAGAGTTTGCATCAGTCGCCAGGAACTTACTACGCACTCAGGCCAAGTCCAAGAACCCTCCAGGCAGCATGGCGATGTTGATCGTACCAACCTGGCACGCGCTACAGAAAGCTTCGGTCTACATCTGATCGCAGGTTTTTTGAGGTCCCAGCATAAAAGTGCAGCAGCGCGCGGCCAGGCTGTGTGGCCAGAAAAGGAAGGCAGTGAAGAATCCTTTTTCGCAGCATGACACGCTTGCTTTTTCCATTATCTTGCCAAGGAACAAACTAGCAAAAGTCAGCACGAGGCCTGGATCGGCAGTCGCAGCAGTTTCGAAACCACGAGGACTCCCCATCAAGCACAACCATGGCCAGCGCAAAGAAGAAGTTGTACACTCCAATGAGATATTGAAAGGGGCTGAAGACCAAATTGAAGATGTTGATCATGCCCAGCACAGACGAAGCCACGAGCGCCAGGGCGACCAAGAAACAAAAGATGCGAACGCTGCAGTGGTTGGCCGCAATGTAAGCACGAACCTGGCAGCAGAATGTGCTTACGAGCACTAGCAGACCAAGAGGCATGACCTCAAGAGCCCTAGGCCCTAGGTGCGAATAGGTGCCTCCACCGCCTCCTCCTTCAAGATCTCGAGCGCTCGGTGTGCATTTTGGGCAGCGGCGGCCCCATTGACGGATGCGTTGGTGTGGCGTTGTCTCCGGCACTGGTAGCAGTGGTGGTGGAAGAGCATGATGAGGCCACAAGCACAGAGCGAGCCGCCCATGCAGATGTGGATCAGGATCCAAATGAAGCCCTCGTCGGCCGTGAACATCGCCAAGTTGATGGTCCCCAGGTAGAAGTGCGTCAAGGCCCGACCCCGGGCTCTTCCCAGGATGGGGGCCTTCTTCCAAAGCTCGGTCTGCCACTTCGCCTGTCTCCCGAGCATCGTGGGTGTGGCATCCATCAGAATCATCAAGACTCCGAAGGCGATGTTCCAGACAGAGTGGACGTATTCGAAGACCTGAAACTTGGCATCCCAAAGCCCCAGCATTCCGAGCACGGAGGTTGCAATCAGCCCCACAGCGAGGCAAAGAGCCACAAGCTTCCTTACAGGGACGTGAGCTACGTACATGATTACATGACCATTGGGAGCTCATCCACAAACCTTCACCTGACCAGATCCGGCCAAGCGGCACTGTTATGTGGCTGTGGTGGGCCTTGGAATGGTCTCGCCATGACGATGCAATCCGTGCAAGACAGAGGAACTCACGACACGTTCTGTCCGCTCGCTTTTCGTGGGGCTCAGGCATAGGACTCGAGCTGTACCCAAATGTGTCCTACAGAGTTGAAAGGTGGGGCCTTTGCAGTGTCTCCACATCAAGCGCACGTGGTCCTGCATATCCTTCTGGGGCAGCGGGTGCATCAAAGAGGCCCTGCGAGACAGAGCTGGCGAAGGCGCTAAGCCGCTAAGCGCGGGGGGCCCGGCCTGGCCACCGGACTCGGAGCTCCGGTCATCCTCCAAAGCTTCCACCAAAGCGCCCGCGGCATTCTGCACTGTATGTCCAGCTGCGGCCGCCGCCTGTGACAGCTCTGGGGGTAAGTCAAGGGGGCAGCATTACAAACTAGTCTGCGCTTGAATTCTTTCGGTCATAGCTCCTGTCCAAGGCGGGCCATGTTCAGGCCCTGCTCCAAGACCTCGACGGCAGACTTGGGCTGCACCCCGGGTTCCGAGATCTCCCCGCGAGGGCTGCTGCCCTTGCAGCAGCAGACCCCGGAGCCGGCATCGTTTCCAGCATCTTGGGATGCTCCGCTGCCCATGTCAAGACCCTATAAGGAGCTCATATGAGGACGCTTCTATACCTTTAACCCACCAGAACCTACTTGTTTTGTAGGGTCCCTATAAATTCCATATTAGGGTTTATAAGAAGAACCTACAAAGAAGTAGGGTCTGGTAGTTTAAGGTAGACGTAGCTGTTCACGTGGTCTTGACACTTCAGTTCCGACACGCATGATCAGTCGTCCCTAGGCGCAAACTTCAGTCGTAGCTGCTTGTCACTAAGGTTCAAGGCAACGTGGAGCTACTGCAGGACAGCCAAGCTCGAGCTTAATCACTCCCAGCGGCAGTCAGCCAAGATTGATCACGTTTTAGAGGCATGCGGGCTTGACAATCCAGGCCCTCTGCACACCAGGACAACCAGGCCAATGCAGCTGCTCCTGGCCTTTTGGGCCATGAGGCCTACGTTCCTCACCCCTCAGACTTGTTCATGCCTGCGAGAGCCCAGGCTCGGAGGATTGGCACGAGGGCGACGTGACATCACCAGGCGGCTTGGTGCCCTTGGCAGAGCCATCGCACGTGACCGGCGTTTTTTCTGCAGGTTTGTCATGGAAAGGTTGGCGGGCAGCTCACGGACTCGAGTTGAATGCCGCGCACGGTAATCGTCTGAGTCTAAGGTCGGCGGCCAGCGAGATCTCCATCTCTCAGCGCCGATCGCCTCGTGAAGCTTGACTTTGCGTAGCTGGAAATCTATTTTTCTTGAAGGGCTGGCGCAGCTTGTCGAGGTCCGAACGCATCGGCGCATTCTGGCACTCGGCGGCAGATCCAGTTTTGCGCACGAAGCCACCGCTCCTCGAGGTGTCAGGAAAGCAAAAAGGGGGCCCTTAAAGCGGCCGTAACTCGCGGCGGCGCCGCCTGGGCATCCTCTCGGAGGCTGCGTGCCACCGCCGCCTCAGAGCTGCGGGTGCGCTCTCCTCGCGCAGCCGGGCGCACGCCCCGGGCCGCACCTCGCAGTGCCCGTGCCAGGCCGCCAGGCAGCCTGGGCTGCATTCGTCTCATGTCATCTCCCTCCATCAGGGAGGGAAGTGTCTTTATACTACAAGTCATTTTCCCTGATGCTAGTTCCGGTGGTGTACACGTGCTGTTGTTGATCTTGGCCACAATGGGATGCTTCGTACGCTTGCCGCTGTATGAACCTGATGTTGGTGGTGATCAGGGGTGTTTGGCTATTGCCATTGCTGGTGCAGGTGTCAGGTTCCCACACGCATGCTCGCCGGTGGGCTCTCCAACAGCGCCCACCGATCTCATAACTTTCTCAGACGGGCACTCTCACAGTACCCGTCTGATCCTGCTACGTTGCCCTCTCAAAGTGCCCACACGAGTTTCCATAACTGCCCCTCACTCGCATAGTTCAGGAATCCCTTCCTCGTGCCCCCCCCCCTCAATAAATAGACTCGAGCAGTGTTTTTTCTGATTAGGGGGGCAAAACAAACTCGAACAGTGTTTTTGTGACTAGGGGGCAATTTATCTCCACGGTCACAATTAGGGAGGATCTTGCTCCTGCTCTTGCTCCAGCTCCTGCGGAGGCTCGGGGCTCTTGCTCTTGCTCCTGTACTTGCTGTTGCTCCTGCTCTTACTCTTCCATCCCGCGAAATCACAACAGGTTTCAAAAGGCGGGGATTTTTTCAGGGGGAATTCCTGGAAGGAGTTATTGCTATTTAAAGCTGCTATTTATTGCTATTTGGGGGGGGGTTGTTGAATAAATGGGGAAGCGATTATCATTCGGGTCCTAACGCACATGCTCTCAATCAAACTTCTCTCAGTTTCTTGGTCGGTTGCTGGTGTAAAACCCCCAGAATCTATCTTTGTTACATTTGCTGTGTGCAGAGCTTTGACACCTGAGAGCTTACACAAGTGCTAGACTCTGCCAGGCTCCTTGGCTCGTCTTTCAAGACGGTTCTTCTGCTTCTGCGCCCTCTGACGGTGCTCAGATGCTGTTAATTCAAAGTGCCGGCCAGGCAGCAGCGAGCTGTGGCAGTTTGCTCGCGCTGCTCAGCACGAGCAGCAGAGCTGTCAAGGCCTGAGCTGTGGAAGCAAGGTGTCGCCCAAGCTGCCATATTGAGTCCAAGACTGGAAAGACCGCGCTCACGAAGGCTGCCTTCGGAAGACTGATAAGACTGAACCAGCAAGTCACAGTTGAATGTTGAAGCAGCCAAGTAGGGCACGGAAAGCCTGGAACTCTTCCTGCAAACCTTAAGCTGCTGGATCATGTGTCAGTTAGAGACCCCCTCGCCCCTTTTGGGCTATCGGCACCACCCGCCCCAATCTAAGATACAATATATGAAAAAATCCTATTCACACTCTAGAACCCAATACTCCTATCTACCTAGGTGCCATAGTCCAAACTGGGCAAGGGGGTCCTCGTAGGATTTGGTTCAGGGTTTAGGGTTAAGGGTTGTATCAAAGCTTAATCTTCTAGGATTTTCCATAAATGTTATAACTCTAATGTAATTATAATATATAACTGCTTATGTATTATAATTACATTATAACTATGTTGGTTAGGTTGTTTAATCCATTAAGACATAATCAGGTTTATTCATAAGAATTCCAACTATTTTATTAAAGTCCCTAATAAATAT